CTCTCTCTCTCTCTCTCTCTCTCTCTCTCTCTCTCTCTCTCTCTCTCTCTCTTTCTCTCTCTCTCTCTCTCTTTCTCTCTCTCTCTCTCTCTCTCACGACCCAGAATCAGATCTCGCATCAAGAATCCCTAAGAGTGCTAATGACAATCCACACAGACAACCAATAACTCTTTCACACTTTTTCAAGCTGCTCGATCGCCAAACAGATCACGAACCAGCATCAAGGCCCCCTAACAGTGCTATTGGCAATCAACATCGAGAGCGAACGACTGTTTGCCACTTCCTTAACGTGCTCTGTCGAACACCACTAACTCCCGTATCATTCGGTGTTTAACTACAGTAACTATAATGTGTCAACCGGAGAAGGAGGTCCTTCCGGGAAGATAAATGGTGGACACATTTGCTGCAGGGGTACTGACGGGCAACTTGCCAAATGTCGTGCACCAGGCTGGGTGTTCCGCCCGACCACAGTTGACAGGTTCAGTACATAAACTTGCAAGGTGTCGGGCGCCGGACCCCTGACCTTTTATGGAAAACAGCCTCTGCCCTATTTACACTGAGGTGTTAATTCACATTTGATAACGACTTTTCATGTACGAAGGGCTCAAAACGCCCCACCACAACATTTGCCATGTCAACACCTCATATACTTACCATTTATCCTCACTTAAAGTGTCGCATGATGTCCTATTGGGCTATGTACTGAGTGTTTATTCGCACTCGAAATAGTTCACTTTTTGACAAAAAGTTCATTTTTTACGAAATGTGTATTGTTTAACTTTTTTCTCGTTTTTTTTTTTTTTTTTTTTTTTTTTTTTAGGAATACGTGCAGTGGCCCTAAAAGACGAACAAAAGAAAAGAAAAACGAGAAAAAAAAAGACAACATATGGCAACGTATTATTCCACGTTTTGCAGAAGACTCATTCTAGTTTTATACATTTGGTGAGTAGTGCAGCCAATCCCTGAGAATCATGTGCAGGCCAAGCTACGTGAGCAACCCATAACTGCTGAAACACAGGTCCTGAATTCGAATCTTGAGTATATATTCGGCCAGCTCATGCCCTGTTTCATATTCACTGCCTGCCTTGATTTTGGTGGGGGGATCTGCGCCACATGGCTGCGAGGACCCTTCAGAGAGCCTGCACGGGCCGTCTGGGCCGTGTTAGGGGGATTCCTACACCCCCCCCCCGGAGAAAAAAAAAGAGCATTCACACACACACACACACACACACACACATTCACACACTTCTCGGCCCATTTTTTTTCTTTTGGTTCCATTTTGTTTGGGGCATTGGCCCACAGCCTATGAATCCCCCGCGGTCATGACCACGGGGTCCTTCTCGGCCCGCGGTCGGGATCCCGACCGCTGAGGTCGGCCGCGGGCAGGAGGCCGCGGTCCTGTTTTTTGCGTATTTTTAATTCGTATTAAAAAAATCAAAAAAAAAAAAATTACAGGGATGTACAGTTTTGAAAACCCTACACCCCTGTATTTGTTTCAACAACAACCCATGCCGTTAAAGCGCTAAAAAAAATATTGAAGATAATCGTGAAAAAAAAAAAAAAAAAAAAAGAATTCGAAGGGCAAAGTTTTTTTTTTTTTTTTTTTTGGCATTGTCTACTGGCTTTCCATTGCCCCATGTTTTTTTTTTTTTTTTGTATGCCGGTTCCGTCATTAAAAATTGATTCTGTGAGACAGGCTCATTTCGGACCGTTTCGTTGACGTCACGAAACCAGCAACGGCCTGCAGGGTACTTGTGCCTCCTCCCCCATCCCGGGGAGCAGGAGAGGGTTCTGCGGTAGTCGTTCAGGATGGAGAGGACGATTGGACAGACGCACACATACAGGCAAGCACTCATACGGGAAGCAGGAGAGGGTTCTGCGGCAGTTGTTCAGGATGGAGAGGACGATTGGACAGACGCAGAGGACGTTGCGGGGGGCACAGACAGGACGGCGGAGCAGGTTTGCTTCACGTACGGGGGCGGATCAGACGACCATGCACCGCGGACGTCCGTCATTACGGACGATGTTGCAGGCGGGGCACAGGGTAGCGCCACTCGACGACCCCAAGTGGGTCGAGGTCGTGGCGCCATTGATCGCGGCGGTCCCCCTCGCGCGAGGAGAGTTTTAGGGGTGGACTCGAGTGACAAGGACGAGGGCGAGGCACATGGCGCAGAGCAGCTTCGGGACCGTCGGTTTCATCCGAGCCACCACTGTAGGGAGCAGCCAGAGCAGCTTCGGCGGTCGCACAGGTTGGCAGAGCGTAGTGGTCCGACGTCTCACCAGCCTCAGGACATACCGCCGATACCGGTTGTGGAGGGGACTCCGTCACATAGCGGCCTCGCTCAGGCCGCGACATCGGTCCTGCGCACCAGCGATTTCGATATCGCGGGTTCGCATGGGGGCTCGCCTATTTTACGATGCGGAGTGGGTGACAGGGCTGAGTACAAGACGGATGGTGGGGAGAGGGAGGAGACTGTTGAGGAGAGGGATGCTCGCCTGGATCGTGAGGAGGAGGCATGGTTACAGTCCATGCCTCGATGGGCTGGCAGAGATGCGTATGAGGCCGAGCAGCGGAGGCAGAGGGAGTTAGAGATGATAGGAGCGGGTTCACAGGCGAGCGTCAGACCATTGCCGACTACAGACACGATGCAGCCCGCCTCCCATGCTGAGGGTGGCGGGGCTGAGCGATGCGGATTGAACGCTGGCGGCGGGGTCCAGACAGATGTGCGACGCGAGGCTTAGAGCTCCGACGACGATGACGAGTGTGAGGCCGCAAAGGCTATCGTACACGACGTTGTAGTTGGCATATGCGCGGCTGCTGGAGATGGAGGGATTCATGGAGGGGAGGAGGAGATGGTGGATGAGGCTAGTGTGCCTTTGCCTTCTGACGCAGCACAGGTTGAGGAGGAGTTGGTGGACGAGGGGTGTGTCCCTTTGGAGGTTGAGGGCAGTGTGCCTTTCGTCGCTTTCGATGATGACACAGCACAGGTTGAGGAGGAGGGAGCAGCGGTCCACGCATGCCACAGTGCCCCGTCGTTGCGAGATGGCGAGACCGGAGGGCATGTTCAGGAGGACGGAGCGACCGTCGACATGTTCCTCGCGATTATTGTTAGGCCCCCGTCGGTGCGAGATGTCGAGACTGGAGGGCATATCGACTCGGGCCGCCCGGACTCTTCCTCTGCAGGTGGTTACTTCGGGGAGATGCCTCGGTGGGACGGCGGGAAACCGGGGGAGTGCACACCGACACCGTTGCGTCCGGAGCAGCTGGAGAGGATGGGGACAGAGGACCCTTTCCCGTACACCGGTGGACCTCGCCCCCCGCGTGGGCACCAATGAGCCCCAGGTGGACTGGGTCATCGCAGTCCGACATCCGCGAGCGGGAGTCTTTGGAGAGACAGGCGACAATGTTTACAGGCGGGGTTGCCTGCAGCCCTGCGCAGCCACCGTGACACCCTGTATCTCATGCATTGGCCACAGGTCTTCCGCCGACTGGTGGTCGAGGCAGCGGGTGGGGATTTTCTTCAAGTCATCGAGGTGGCGTTTCCGGGGGGTGGTCGTCTTACACGCGAGTGACGAACAGTTTGAGGAGGGACTACGACAGAGGGCAGGGGCTGTTCGCACATGGACCATCGAGAGAGGGAGGGCCCGCATCGGGTGCGAGTGACGTTGGACGACCGAGTGTCCACACAACAGGACGTATACTCGGATTGGATAGACTTCGGACGAGGACGACCGAGCCGGGCGATGTTCACCTGGCCCGCTCAGCCATGGAGGACAGACGGCAGGGACTGCCGTACACATCGGGCGAGGATGACTTGCATATGCCACAAGGGTCGAGACGTCATGGCTCGATCAATGATATTGACGCGGAGATTGCTGTTGAGGAGCGGCGGTTGGCAGAGCTGATTCGAGAGCGTGAGAGGAGGTCGGAGACGAAGGCACAGGCCGAGGAGGCAGACACGGAGACGGAGCCCATCAAGAAGGCTGTGCGCAGAGAGAGGCATCGGAGAGCAGCGGCCGCGGCAGGCTCACACCTTGCACCCGTAGGCAGAGATAGAGCACCACAGGGCAGAGGTCAGAGTGGGCAGAGAGGAGCATGGCCAGGGAGAGGGAGCGGAGCACGTCACGGCACTCACCAGGCGCGGTGGCAGGAGATAGGGACATGTTGAACAGGGTAGATTAGTTTTTTACTTTCATGTTTTTGTATAGTATCTTTCTTTTATTTGCACATTACTTTCATGTTGTTAGATGTCAGGTTTCGGGCTTGTCGTACGTTGTCAGTTGTAGAACTTGTAGATGGTTGTAGTATTTTTTTCCTGCGCAGCGTCATGAGTTGCGTTTTTTTTTGGAAACTGTGGGTGTTTGGCGAGGTTGTCATGTCGACTGTGTTGTCATTTTGTCATACACACATCACGTTTTGTCGTCATCTCGTTGGTAACATGTATTGCTGTTTCTGTGAGTGTTGTATTGTCCTTGTGTCTATCGAACTCGATCCCCTCCCAATGAATGTCCCTTCCCAACCGCCTTTAAGCCAACGACCCCTCTCTCTCTGCCCCCTCCCAATTGAATGACACCCACCAACACTCTCCCAACGAATGACTCCCCAACCCTATCAAACCCCCAAACCATCGCAGAACAAAAGAAAAAAAAACGTTGTGTGTTTTGCTAGTGGAACCCCCAAAACCCAAGGGCCAAGGTTGCATGGCGGTTTTATTGTCCTTCTGTGACGTTGTGTGTATAAACTTTAAAGTACTATGAATGGCCCCCCAATCCCCTTCCGACGAATGGCCCCCCTGTCCC